TGCATCTATAATATATTCTCTCAATAAACGTTTAAATGTTGCCATACTATTATTTTGTTTTGTTTTATCTCGGACGGTAAATTGTTGTACATTTTTATACTTTCATAAAATAGGCTTTTAACAAAATTGAAAGACTCTTCTTATACAAAATAAATAATAATAAATAAAGGGCAAAGTAAGAGTCAACACATTTCTTTAACAAAGTAATACAATTAAAAGAATAAAATACACATAAAGGAAAGTAAAATTAAAGGAAATATATAATAAAAAATAATAAAAATTAAATAAAAAATAATTAAAAACTCAGTGTTACAAGTTTCGGCTACCAGATTGAGCTCTCTTCAGACGTTAAACATATCGAAAAATAGGCTTTCCTGGGCACTCTTAGTTTTTCTATTGTATTATAATACAATATTTTTTGCTTGCCTTATACTTCTATCACTACTATTTCCTACATATATTATTCTATTACTACAATAAGATATTTGAAAGTCATACATTTTACCATTTTAAATATGAAAATACACACCTTTTTAGAATAATCTCTGTCTTACTGACATAAATTGTAGTACTTGTAACATGAGAGAGATAGAGAGAGGGAAAAAAAGGAGAGAGAAATAGAAAGGGAGAAGGAGAGAGAGAGGAAGGAGGGAGTGGGAAAAAGGGAGGAGAGAGAAAGAAGGAGAAAGAGAGAGAGAATGAGGAAGGAAGAGGGAGAGAAAGAAGGAGTGGGAGAGGAAAAAAGAGGGAGAGATAGAGAGACAGAGGGGGAGAGAGAGAGAGAGAGGAAGAAAAAGGGAGGGAGGGAGGGAAAAGAAGAGGGAGAGAGAGGAAGCTGGGAGAGAGGAGGGGAGAGAGAGAGAGAGAGAGAGAGATTCATATTTGATTCGTAAAAAAACATGTTACAACCATAGATTTCCACTTTAAACATTTCTGGACGGAAAAGTATTGAATTTAGAAAGTCATTTCCATTGAGACTTTTGTTCAAGACGTTGAAGACAACATATTTTAATTTAACTAAAGGACATTTTCCATAAAAGCTGAGTCCTTTCCTCAGATGTACATTATGTTGATTGCCATTTGAAAATTAGTCATCTAAGATGATGTTACACAATGACACAGCAATAGGAAAGGAAACTGATGTTACTGCCATAATTTTAAAAAGGAAAAACGAATGTGAGATGGCGAGAAGGAAAATTGGAAGGGGATAGTAATTATAGAAAAATAGGAACTAGGCAAGAATTTTGTGTCACTTTGCTTGTTCAAATCACTTGATTGCTTTTTAATGTGTACCATCTCCGAAATCTATCTCATATGACGGCTCATTGTCGATAATTTTAACTTCATTTATTTAAAATTATAATTGTGGATCAACCGATGGTTCAAAATTATTGATGGGGACCCTGTTTTTCTCTTACTTATGTTTTTGGATATTCTTGCTTTTAATTGACATTTTGTTTATCCTACATATATCGCATCGCAATCGTGGCGTAATATCTTGTAAATCACTTCTTGATGCAACATAAGGTTTAATAAATCTTTCTGTCTAATAACATATTTTTTAATTTGTTAGGAATGATAAATACTATTTTTTTATGTAGGCCAGTAGCAATCAGCAAGAATGACTCGTAGATAGTTTTCACATACAGTGAAATATCGATCATTATTTAATTGTTTATGTTATTGATTATATATTGTAATTGCTTATATATTGTATATAGTATGTTGTTGGTTATGGTTGACAGATTTGTTCTGGTGAAATTTTATTCTCATGTTAATTGTCGAGAAAATGAATACCCGTTTAATGAATACCCGTTGTTTAATAAAATATGTACTAATTCTGTAATATTTTTTTGGTGGTATATAGGATGAGATAAGAACATTATTTCGTCCATCATATAAAAAATCACGTCCTTCTTGTGACAAATTGAATGTTGGAAGTTGAAATTCAAAAAGTCCTTCCTGAAAAAGTTGGTTTTTTGTAACAATCGAAGACAAAACCAACTATTCCGTACAATAATATCTACATCCAAAGAACTTAGTCTGTCACCGTTACCATTTCAATCGTGAATTGTAATCGTTCACATAGTGAATTAAATAAATACATTAAGAATAACGTCCAAATATTCTACCGATCAAATATTGCTCAGAGGCAACCAAGGAAATGCGTATTTAAAATAAAATTTTAGCTGACAAGGTAACCGCCAAATCTCCTCCAAGTCTTCCAATACAGTATTAGCTCTAATTGGTGACAATGGTGATCCCATAGGTGGGACACATTTCATAAACATTTGTTTGATATTTGAAGATATTTTAGATGATTAAGTTAGAGGAAAGTTAGAGGAAACATGCTGTATATGCAATTAATATAAAAAACGTTTCAAGTAATTCAAATTATCAATATGATTGGAAACGAGACTGTTTATATTAAAACTTTAAAGTACGAAGCGCCTACCGGTCCGAGTGTTCAAAAGTTGAACTATATATAATATAATATATACTCATTTTAAAATGAATTAATTTTCAGAAACAATAATAATAATAATGTTTATTACAGTTTTTTAAGATTTGGGAAATTTTGGGAGGATTATTAGTTTCAGATTGATTGTGTGAATGTCCGATAATCATGTCGGCATTATTATTTCTGAAAATTAATTTATTTTAAAATAAGTATATATTATATAGTAATTCAACATCTTAACACTCGAACCGGTAGGCGCTTTGTACTTTAAAGTTTTAACTTTAATTATGTTTTTTGTAATTTTTTTCTCTACGATAACTTTTTTTCGTTCTACTTATAATTAGAGCAAGAAATAGATAAAGACAGCTTCATGAAGTGACTTAACATATCCGTTTATTAATGCCTAAAATTCCTGGGCCTTTGGCCCTGAAGGAAAAATTACTATGCCAAAGTACGCCAAAACTTTCTAAATACGCGGTTTGGAATACGAAAAAGAGGTTAGACATAGAATTCTACTTCTATGTCAAAATAAACCGATTCATGCCTTGCACGCCAAACAACGCCAAACTGCAGCAAACTAGAAAATACGCTTAATTATGCCCGAAAGTAAGCGATACTTGATTACAATAAAAACTACGCAAATGAACCATGGAAGTAGTTTGACGTAGAATTCTACTCCTATACTAAAGATTTACACCTTTCTACGTAAAATTATACCCTAAGTATAGTTTTGTACATTTACACTGTATTATTTAAAGTAACATGATGGTACAATATTTTAAATTCATTGACATGAATTCAAGACCATTACATTGTTGTTATGATGGAATTAGAATTCCATCGTAGCATGAACACTTTAATATTAAAGCTCAACTCACTTCGCATGCTGTTGTCCATTATTTTCGGTGCTTATCAAGTAAGTGAAACCGAACGTGAAAAAGGTCCTTGCACAGTTTGAAAAAACTTGCGATCTTTGATGCAAGAAATAGGCAAGAACTGTAAAACTAACGGAGCTGATGTGCGAATGTCTCGAAATGCGTAATTACGGAAGAAAAGGAAAGTGATTACAAGATGCGTGAATTGCAGTGGTGTTTAAAGGGAATTGACACCACTTATTTCTTGAACAAAGTTTTATTTGTTGCACACAAGATACACACGTGATCAGACGCCACGCGCGGAGCACATGAGGAGAAATTGTCCGACGGAGATTATCACAAGTTTTGTGGTTTTTTCCCATGCACTTCGCGAACGCGTGGTTGTGCGAGGATCCAATTTCTTCTTGAACCGAAACGTGTGTTGATTTATTTCGGCTGGTCTTACTAACTATGGCCGCGTGCGGATTGGAAACTTCCGTGTTCGTGGAGCGCGAATCGTGGCTCGCTTTACGGAAGGTACCGAGCTTCTGCCGCAAAACGGAAACGGCTTATCGTCCCGAATCGAGCGATTCGGTCGATCGCCGAAAGTTGTCGCGGTCTATTCTTCCGCCGCGACATTGAGTGTCGCCAAATAATAATAATGATGACGTCACGAATTACGAAGTTCGTGTATCTACTGGTAGAGACGTCTGTTCGTTCGCAATTTTGTACTTTATCTAAACACATGCGAAATGCTGCGTTCCTTATATTCTTTTCTAGATAATTCTTATTTACGATTTTATGCATATCCGCCGTGGCCGTTTGTCGACAGAGATGCACAATGCTCACGGATGAGTAAGAGTAATTCTGCATAAAATGGTGTAGAATGACGTACTTCATTACAAACGGAAAAATTAAAAGATAAGTAATGTATTTTGGCATAGAAACACGTATCTCAGGAAACTATTTTTTTACAACCGCATAGCTTGGCGT